TGAAATAAAAGAATGCAGCTACATGTAGTAGGAGGAGACAGAATGCAAAGACCTGGCAGCTAATTCTGTGGCATCATCAACTTGCTGTGTGACTCTAAGGCCTTTCTTCTTTCTAGACTTTGGTTTCCTCACTTCCAAGAAGAGTTCATTTTTCTTGATGGTACCTGAAATATCATCTACTCTATTAATCCATAATTTTTAAAAACCTACTGTTGTCCCACTGGAATCGTCACACGTCCTCTCTAATACAACAACCTTTTGCATTTGGCACTGTGTTTGCTTGATAACTTCATGTGTCTGGGTGATGCCACGCCACAGAATTTTGCTTATTAGTTAACTTCTCTGTTCTATTACATCTTGATTTTTCTACCTACCATAGCTCTGATATCATCCAAACTCTGCTGGGCAGTCACAGAGCAAAAAGAGTTCAAGTTTTGAAGTCAAAACAAGCAGAGTTTGGATTCTGATGCCTCCTTTTCCTCAGTTACCTACCTCCCATGAAACTTGCATGTTCAAAGTGAGATTCCTATTTCCTTCATCACTGAGTCGTTCTTAAAACTGAAATAAGATAAACACATAAAGCACTCGTCTGGCACCTAGAAGTTTCTCAGTACACCTTTCTGCTTAGAATCTATCTGTTGCTTTGCAGATCCTGTTTCAGAAATGAGCCCCTTCTTTTCTATACCACAGCATCACATTATGAGATCAGGCCTGGAGGTGAATGGGCTAAACATGCCCTAGCGGAGGGAAAGCCTCAGGTCAGAAGTTAGTTACCCATCTTTCATTCCTTCATACACAATTACCGAGGCCTGTGAGGAAGCAGGGCAGCAGTACCATGCATCAGAGGACAGAACAGAATCAAGGTGTTGCAGGGGAGACAGATGGACAAATGACGAAATGTTATGCAATGTGCTTGATAATAGCAGGATGTACAAGATGTTATAAGAGCATCAAGGGGCATCCAATTCTGGTAAGAGCAACCACTAGCTTGGCCTTTCAAAACTCTCTTGTCTGCATTAGTGAAAAAGAAATTTAGTGCTGGGTCAAATACCCAGATCTCCCCATAGAGGCTACTTTTCTAAAGCAGGGACAATGGGGGGACATGGCTGGTTTTGAAGGATATTAAAAAGTTCAAGTTAAAAATGCTGATGATAAGATGTGATGGAAAGCAAGATGCGCAGTTGTGAAAAAATCCAGCATTTACCCTGAGCTGCCCGGAAAATGGGGGTACCACTCATAGCAGGAGGAATACAGGAGTGGAAGGAAGCTTTGTTTTACTGGGAAAAGGAAGTGGCACCCAAGGGGACTAACCAGAAAAGAGAGGAAAGTCAATCAATCTTGAAGCCAAACTTCAAAAAACTGGAAAATATTATAAAAGCCAATTTTGTCCACATGCATCACCAAAAATGCAGAACCCAAGCTGCCCTAGACTGGGGACTCTACTCCGAGCCGTGCTACACGAAGGGACATGTATCACTGACCCACATTTTGAAACAACACTGGGGGAGGGGCACCTCTAGAAACAAGCTGCTCGCTCCTCAAATGGCAGACACGCATATTTTCTCACCACCAGTGGAGCTGTTGCCAGGAAATCACACAGACCCCAAATAGAAAACAGGCCAAAAGAAAACAAAGAGACAAGACTCCCAGTCTCCTGTTCATGGGGCACTGAAGTTCAGGGCAAGGCCCTCCCTAGGTGGTCACACGGTCCAGATAAAATCCTCCCCGAAGTCCCTCCGATTTGTTTATGCAGGTGAACCAGGAGGCAGGGGATCTGAGAAGAGGATGGTTCCTGAGTGCCTGATCTGTGCCGGGCATTTTGCTTCAGCCTCCACATTCCTTGTTTCCTTTGAGGTCGGTATTATTATCATTCCTATTTTACAAATGAGGAAATGGGCCGTGAGGCTGAGGCACAGAGACTCCTAGGCAGTGGTGGCACTGACGTTCAAAGCCAGGCCTGCAGACCACAGAGCTGTCTCTCAGCATCGCGCCACCCATTGCAAGAACATGGACATGCCGCCTGGGAGCTGCTGGTGCCTGCCACCTCCACGCAGGAAACAACTTGGTGACAATGCAGGGCAGTGGCCACCTCTCTCCCCCTCTCTCTCTCTTTCAATAAGACTACCTAGTACGAAAAGTCTCTCTGTCCCCTTGGTGCCGCAGATCATGGGTTCTCTGAGCAAGCTGATAAACGGTAAGCTGAAGGTCCCAGGCAGGAGGGACTGGCCTGCTTTGCTCTACTCAGGGCTTTCATAGAGTCAATAGGACATCACCCAGGATGGACAGGACAGTTAAAGACAGCCTCCGAGAAACCCAGGATGAGTCCCCAGTTCCAGGTGCAGCAGTGGGTGTGCTGTGACCATGAAGAGGGCACACATTTAAGTCCTACTTAGCACTTGTTCATCTGGCCGGCATGCAGCAGGAAACTGGATCATTTTTTTCCCCCTTTGGATGAGGCGTAGCCAGCTGATTAATGATGTGAGGGAGAGTGGGCTAAGGAGGGGAGTTCTACAAATGTTCCTTTTAGGAGAGCCATGGCAGGCATGGGGAAAGAAAGGTGTGCATTGTAAAGGGTGGCAGGCAGTATTGGGCTAATTAGGGTTTGGTTAATGCTGGTGAGTGTTGAACATTCTTGCTAATGGCTGTTACTAAGGGCAGAAATGGGATCATTTGTTAACTTTACTTAGGAAAGTGAGTGTTGAAGGCAGGATGGAGGGAAAAAAAGGTGAACATGGACCATTTCGGCTAAGCTAAATGAAAAGTGGAAAAAACTCCTCATGATTTTCTTAAAAAGAGCAAGACCCTGACTTCACACTGGCACCAGGCTCCCTGGGCTTTATGAGACAGTGGTCCCCACTTTCTAATTAGTCCGCCTGACTGTCAAGCCCTTTGACAATCCTACAATTAACCTTCTCCCTCTGTTCCATATGCAGAATTTTTTTAAACAAAAATTGTCTTGGAGGCATGGGTTAAGAACTGACTGTAAATTGTGCTGTGTGCTTGTACTTGCGCGATTTTTATCCAAGTTTTACACAAAATCCTGTGATGTATAATGAATTTAATTTCTGTTTTACAGATGAGAGGATTAAAGCTCTGAGCCCTAACCTGCACAGAAATTAAGTGGCACTTTTATTTTTCAAGGCCTTATATTTTATAGACCATTATTCCCTTTAAATCTCACCCGAGGAAAGTTTTCACAAATTATTTTCTAAAGTACAAGTGTCCCGTGTTTTTTTCTTTCCTAATCCATCAAACCCATTTCACCACAGTGTCCCACAGAGAGAGAGCTCTCTGGCCCCCCGGGTCCACAGTAACCTCTGAGTCATGTGGGTAATCAAAATGGACTGACTCAAGAAATACGAACTCCCAGAACAACTCTTCTTTACTGGTGAATTCTGAATGGCATCCCCTCCTCTTTGAGCGACCTTCCCATTAGTGTCTCTAGGAATTTTGAATAGTATCACAGCTTCTCCCAAAAAGTAAATAGTAGGAAAATAGCCAGGTGGGAACCATGTCCCACAAATCGCTCTAAAATACCCCTTAGCACTGCCAAGGGAAAGGTATGTTCCTCTCAGTAACCATGGCGAGCATCAAAGAGATTTGCCAAAACTGGGTGGAGAATGCCCTCTGTAAAATGTTCCTGTTTCGTTTTGTGGAACTCGGGTCTCAGGGCTGTCCAGCTTTTGCTCCCACCTGCTACTTCCATGCCTGCCTTCTTGCTCTGTCACTAATACCAGGGGAAGAATCAGCAAACTGACATTTGTCTGGTTATAAAAGTATGTGAACAAAAACTAATTTTAATGTTCTATTCCTAGAGTGTAGTGGGGGTTAAATTAAAGATGTTTCTACTTGAACTCTGTAAGATAGCTGTACCAAAACTATAAAATGGCTAGCATTGATTAATAGCTTATGAATGCTGGTCACTCTCAATTATGTCATATTATTCCAACTCTCACAAGTGTCATTTGATGTTGATACCATTATTATCTCCATCTTATAAATGAGGATGTTGAGATTGATGAAAAGTAAACAACCTGCTGAGAATTGCAGTGAGAGACAGGAAGTGAAAGGACCCAGGCGGCCTAATGTAGAATCTGCATGTTTTACTACCCAGAAGACCCCTCGGAGAACTTTGATGAAAGTGGCCCCAAACCTCTTCTAATACTCAAACTAAGATACCAACCCTCATGAAGAGAGGTCAGAAATCTGACTCAATCCATGATGGTTTGACCAACTCGGTTGGCATGGAACTTGAGTGAAGCTAAAATCAGAACTGTAAAATGCAGAACATTACTGAGGCCTATAAACCCAAGTTGGGCATTGGATTTGACATATTCTTCTCTGTGTGTACATGTGTGTGTTTAAGTTTTTAAGGATGGCACAGACAGCAGCAAGGACAGTGCAAGGATCATTCCATCTACCACACTGCGTTTAGCCTTGGGGAAACTGCTTTGACCTTGTGAAACGGAAATGATATTGCTGTGAAAGAAATACCAAACACTAAAGCTAAACTCAAGTCTATGCTCCATACTTAGAAAAAAATTTCAGCTCTCAAATATAGTCTCCAGATTTGCAGAAAATTCCCAAAAATCTGTCAGGATAAATGATAATAAATGATTTGGCCCATAAATGAGTTTGCCATTAATTTTGGCAGTATCAGAAAATGTAGTCACAAATTGAACCGATGTACTGGTGACCTAGAAATGCTAAAAAGAGATTTAAAAAGAAGGATCGGTAATAGTAATACTGCTACATATTAAATACTTGAACATTGTTTAGACATCAATTCCTAAAAAACTGGATGTACTCAATATGAATAAAGAATATTGGTATTTTTATAGTAATGTATTCTGAGTCAGTTTGTTACTATGGAATCACATGTGATGTCATAAATTCGACATTCTACACACAAGCCTGGACTGAGCAACTGAAACAACAAGAAATGGAGCTGGGGAGATGAACACCTGTGTAACAACCAAAGAATTTGAATAGTTAAAGAAATGAGTCAAACATCTCTGAAACAGAAAAAGAAGGTAAGTGAATTAAACATCCTAGAATCTTGCCAAAGAGCCAAGAAAAAGTAGCCATCAGTCCATCATTCACTTCTGGAACCTTCTCTGAAATAATTCAATCATTTTAGATGATCATTACGTGTACAAAAAAAATGGAGGGGGAAGTAAAGGAAATAAAGAAAATGGAGAAGGAGATTAAAGCATGTAGTATAAATCAAACCAATAAGTCAGCCTTTATTGAGTATATGCTCATATGTCAGTTGTAAGAGGTAAAAACACAGTGGCTACCTTTAAAGAATACACAGTCTAGACGGAAAGAAAATACCAAGTACAATGCGGTGCTCAGTAAATGCCATGCTCAGTGAAATACCAAGTACAATACTATAATGTGATCAAGATTATTATCATTTATCTGTTGAAGAAGCTCAACTTCAAGCTTAGACAAAGGTGCAGTCTGTTAATTTCTTTATGCTCTGTGCCTTAGGCTTAGAAAAAATCTGACCAGTGTTAGTTGGTCAGATTTTAGTGCTCTATGAAACACACAGCCAACACAGAGGATTGCTTAACTCCAGGAACTTCTCCTGGGTCACACTGATCTGAATTTGAAGAATATTAAAGGGAAGGCTACAGGTAAATAAAATGGTATATAGACAAAGACAAGTCACTTGGCAAAGAAGAATGTAAAGTGTAGAGTGAAGGGCATGCCAATCAGAGAAAGACAAGACACATCAAAGGTTCCCAGTCTGTCTATCCAAGTGAATGGAAAGTATATCCAGAAATGAAGCATAATTATATTCATGTTTTATAATATCACCCTAAATAAATGGGGTTAAGAAGTTGGGAAGATTTGAGGCCATGAGACCTATCAAAAGGCTATATTCTAAGCATATACACCCATGATGATCTGAGGTCTGGAACAAGACCATGATAATAGGCATGGAGAAGAGGGATTGGGTTTAAAATATCTTTTGAAGTTACAAGTACCAGGACTTCATGAAGATGGTGAAGGGTTGATGAAAAACTGTAGGATTAGTTCTAGGATCATGCAACTATGCCATTCTCTGCTGCCACAGACTCAATCATTCAACTAACACTGGTCAGACTTTTTCTAAGCCTAAGGCACAGAGCATAAAGAAATTAACAGACTGCACCTTTGTCTAAGCTAGAAGTTGAGCTTCTTCAACAGATAAATAATACTAATCTTGTTCACATTATAGCTACGAAATTAGCATGAACAATACAAATGGTAATCTAATACAATAGTACTTCTCTTGATTGAAAGTGAAAACAATAATTTGTGTAGGTGTCCATGAAGTGAGTCATCTTCTTGTGCTCTCTTACACAGTCTCCCTACAAGTATGAGTAATTAGATAATATGAACAGAAGGCACACCTGTCAATAGATCCAAACAGGATTAAGGATTAAGTACAGCACTGAGGTCCTTGACTTTAAAAATCAGACTAATATCAGTGAGGCTTAGATCCACATAATATTGGACCTATGGTTTATTAAGAAAATAAGACAAGTTGTTTCAATTCTGCATGGCAAAAATTAAAGTTCCATGAGTGGCAATCTTCAGAGTAATGGAGGAAAGAAAAAGGTAGTCTATGTGAGCAACCTCACATTTAAACCCAAGTATTGCTGGCCCCTGGAAAATTCTCCTACAGCATATCCCATACTGTAATTTTTTAAATGATAAACACCTCATGTCTTCAATCTATAAAGCACCAAATTTCTACCATACAATAATTTATATAGTTCTTTGGGGTATTATTTTTACTCATGCTTAGGAGAACAAGGCAAAAAATAATGTCGAACTCTATATATTTTTTGATATTGGCAAAGAGACAGATGCTACTTTTAATTTATCCTTTTATTCCCAAGTGCCAGGTTTTTAATGTCCCTGAGATTAAAATTAATAAACATTCTTTGTTTTCATATTAAGAATGAGTCTGGAACGAAATACTCAAGAGAAAGTCTAGAATCAGAGAAAAGACGGGAGTCTGACAAATCAGGAACTCGTGTGAAAACTCAGGTGAGCTGACCTCTTCATTGTCAGCAAGAAAATTAAAAAGCAGAAAGCATAATAAAATATTGGGGGCAGGGTGTTCTGGGAGACTGAACTACTGAGGTGTGTATTAAGGGACACTACTGCCCCTCATGGAGAGGTTAAGGAATACCTAGGAGAAGCTGGTCCCTGCCTTCCCTGTAGTACACATTTCCATGTTCACATAGAAAATATGGTGTAGAAACCATAGCTGCCTCCTCTGCTCAGCCAATGGGAGGAGACTGTCTTCGTTCAAATCAGGGAGGGAAGGGGAGTCTGGCCATGGCATTGACCATTTTCTGCACAATCTTTCAGATGAGGCATGCGGTCAATCCGAATCACTGGCTGAGATGTTGCCCCATGCGTGGTCACCTGGCGTGTAGACATTGCCTTAGGGCACCTGAGGGAACAGTCCTTCTTGGCCCCTGCTGCACAATACGTATTTATATTCACATGTGCCTGTTGTGGGAACAGGGCCAGCAGATCACCATGATCAGGGTGAGCAGAGATGGAACTACTGATTTTGTAGGGGAGCCACAGTCAGTCTGGGTGAGGGGAAGGGTATGGGGCATAGAAACTCTTCCACTCACCTCTCCATGGTCCCCTTCAGTGTTGTTCCTCCCAGAGGGCTCTAGTTGCTCATACGTAGCTGCCCTGGAGTCCCGTTGCAGCCTTGTTTAGGCCCACCTGCCCTCATCTTTGCATTCTAGTAAAAATGGTGGATATGTCTTTTTAGCATCTGTTTATGGGCTTATCCTTAAGGGAAGAAGTGGGGAAAGGGAGGGAAAATGGTCAGCTCTACTAAGTATCATGTAAGAGTGACAGGTGAAAAATATGAGCTATCAGATTTGTTTGTTGGTTTCCAATGCTCTTCCAGGTGGATCCCCACTTTGTCACTTCTAAGGGAAGTGAGGATTGGGCCAGAGCTAGACTAGTACTCAAGGACCAAGACTGAACTGAGGGTCGTAGTGGCCAGGGATCTTCCCAGTGTGTGCTGCTGTTCAGCTTGGCACGGCTATTCTGTAGGCACATGCATGGGGGGAGTGGGTGGTGGGGGAGTTACACCCCTGGGTCTCTTCTCTCTCCAAAAGGGATCACAAGAATTATCATTGCCGAAGACAGATTCTCGAGGGTACCTCGTGCGAAACCAGTGGTCCGGAACCTCACGAAGCCCATCCATCAGAGCCCCATCATTAGAGGAGCCCAGAAGCAAGAGTGCCAATCTTAAGGTAGAGAGGGAGGACCTGATAGCCTAATACTACTAATAATAGTAAGAATAATACTGAGACTGATGACAGTTAACATTTATTGATGCTTTCTACCTGTCAGCCCATTCTACTTACTTTACATGTTTTAGTTCATTGAGCCCTCACAAGACACCCCCTGTGAGCCCTATTTTACAGCTGAAAGAAACACAGAACAACTTGCCTAAGATTTCACGTCAATAATGCTAACAGAGCTAGTTTACAACCCCAGTTCACAACATCTATAAGCCATACATACACTTAATGATTAAACTCTGTAGTTGCTCATTCCTTTCTTCATTCATTCAATAATGATTGCGTACTCAAGACTAAGAAGGGGGTGGTGTAGAAAGGTCAACAAAGAAGATAAATTGTTGAAGAGTGTTACACTAAGCCTAGCCACATAAGAAAAAGTCAGTTTGTGGATTAAGTTGTTGGTTGCAGAGAGAGTGACACACATCCAGCCACTGGGAATACATATATTCCCACCAACCCATCTGTCTCTGTGGGGACTGGCTCAATCATCTAACAAAAAAAAAAATGCCTTTCAGAACACATGAAACTGACATAAAAATCAAAATAATATGTGCATGCTTAACAACTTATTGCACATCTTAGTCCAGGAGTCCCTTCTCCAGAATGGCTCCTTTGCTCCAGCTGAGCTCTGCACACAGAGAGACCTGAGGCAAAAGGGAGACACCAGTTTCTCCAGCCCAGCAACCTTCCTGCAAGCACCGCCTGAACCACAGGGTGAATGTGGAGGCAGCTATCTCCAAGGTGCTCTGTAGAGTCTTCTGGTGGGAACGTCTGGTCTAGTTGCTCATGTGGAGGTCACAGATGGAGGCAGGGCACAAGCAAGTTCCCTTACTCAAGCCCACCTGAAGGTCTCTAACTGGGCAGGTATACATACAGAAGTCACATGACAGAACTTTACAATCTGTGGGCCATCCACCTAAGGGCAAGAGAGAGGGCCTGTGACCTAGCTACTCAAAAAAAGGGGGAAGTGAAAGAAAGCAGACTGTGTCTGTGTCCACTTACCAGAAATACCTAATGTCTGGAGACATGGCATGCCTAAAACCCTTTACGCTCCACTTAAAAGAGCTGAGATGAACAAGGATCCAATTAAGGGCTAAGAATGGAACGGAGAAAGGGGCACCGGTCCTTCTCCTTGACTCCAGTTGGAGATGGGGACAGGGAAGACAGCCGATTGTTTAACTCAGACACCTGTCTTCTTGCTCCAGGTCCCCACAAGCTCCACAACCTCCCAGACGTCATCCACCTCCCAGAGCCAGCACGAGTCCACGCAGGAGCTGCCCCTACAGTCCTCCCCACCCACGCCGCCCGTGGCTCACACGCCCCCAGGGTTTCTAGACCCCCAGAGCCCTCCCACACCCCCTGAGCCCCAGGCTCAGCCTCAGTCCCAGCCCCCGTCCAGGCGCAGCAACAAGATGCAGGAGAACCATGAAGCCTGGGTGCATGGCACTGTGCGGGACTACCGGGACTCCCGGGACATGCGGGACTCCCGGGACATGCGGGATGTCCGGGACTTGCGGGATGTCCGGGACATGCAGCAGCGGGAATATCCGCGCACGCCCCCCAGTGAATGGAAGTCCTATGGCCAGCGCAAGACCACCTATACCTCCCAGCTGGACCGCGACTATATGCCCGACCTGTCTCGGCAGCGGGAGGATGAGAACGATGACGAGGAAGCCTACTGGTCATCCGTGAAGACACTGTATGAGAAGACCCCGGGCTGCTCACGCCCCCGGCCGGTGAGTAGGGCCCACTGACCGCGGGACCTGGGTGTCCCTCTGCTCAGCACCACAGCCCCAGTCTCCTCTCCAGGGATAGAGGAATCCCTTCCAAACCTCCCTTCTGCAGCCTGGAGGGGTGGGGGGAAAGGGTCCCAGGCCTCGGCTGTCTCCAGAATCCCAATGCCCCAAGCAAAGGCCCAGCAATTTTCTCCCCACACTGCCCTGGAATGAGCCCCATTCCCAATCCCTTCCAGTTTATGTGACTGTCTCCTCCCGCCTCCGTTGGCACCTCTGTCTGCAGCCAAAACCCAGGCATGCCATCACCATCGCTGTGTCATCCCAGGCTCTCTTCAACATGGTGGACGGCAAGAAAATCTATGAGGAGGAGGGTCTGGAAAAGTACATGGAGTATCAGCTCAGCAATGAGAATGTCATCCTGACCCCTGGGCCCGCGTTCCGCTTCATCAAGGTACTGGGCAAAGCTGTTGTTGTCCTTAGGCCCCGGGTCACACATGGGATCTCGTCTAGCTTCCCTTATGATCCCTAAGCCACCTCTGTCATTCTTGCCCTCTTGGTTGACCCCAAGTTGGACTCTGCTTTCACAGAGACTTCCAGACCAGACCCTTGCGGAAGAGATTCCAGCCCTAGATTTGAGATGCTGAGCTTTCTTGAGTGGAGTCCTAATTGGGAGGCCCAGTAGCACAAACAGAAACCTTTGTCCCCTCCCTAGAAGGAGTGGCAGCCAGAAGCAATGAGTTCACAACTGTAAGCACTAGCAGAGATAAAATGCCTCCTTAAAATAAGATGAAATTCACTTTTGCTGCTTTTGCCCCAAACATAGCAAATTAAAAAAACAAAGAAACAAACAAGATGTTCTTGGCACTTAGGGGCATAATATTAAGAAGGTAAGGTGCTCTAAATTTATACATAAATATATAGCACTTACAGTTGTGATCCTCTATAAAACTTAAACAAACATTATGCAATAGCATCATAACAAGGCAGAAACAAACGATGCTCCCACCAGTTGTAAGTAGAACTTATGGGGCATCGGAGGAGCACAGGAGGAAACCAGCCACCTATTCTAAAGACTCCTGTTTGAAAACAGACCAAACACTGTTTGGGCAACACACACACTAAAGTTGGAACAATAGACCATTAGCATGGCACTTGTGCAAGGTTAACATGCAGATTATTTTTCACAATAAAAAATAATCATCAATGCAAGTGTCCATGAACAGGTGATTAGAGAAAGATGTGGTACATACAGACAATAGAATATTACTCGACCATATAAAAGAAAAGAATCTTACCACTAGCAACAACATGGTTGGACCTTAAGGGTATCATGGTAAATGAAATAAGTCAAACAGACAGTGGGCTGGGATGGGAGTAAAAGACAGAAAACTGTACCTGAACAACAACAATTAAAATAAATTGTTTCAAAAAATAAATTTAAATTAAAAATTCTAGTTTCAAAACAAATAAGTCAGACAGAGAAAGACAAATTCTATATGACTTCACTTACATGTGGAATCTAAAGAATGAGATAAATGAAAAAAAGGAAAGAGACTCATAGATACAGGGAACAAAGTGAGGATTGCCTCAGAGGTTTGGAGAGCTGGGCAGAAAGGGGGAAAGGATCAAGAAGTACGAATTGCAAACAGACATGGGGATGTAAAGTGCAGCATAGGAAATATAGTCAATAATATTATAATAAGTATGTATGGTGCCAGGTAGGTCCTAGAATTATCAGGCAAATCACTTTGAAAATTATATAATTGTCTGACCATTGTGCTATACACCTGAAACTCATTTGAAATGATATCAGATATCAACTGTAACTGAAACATGAAAAAAAAATCAGATGATCAAGAAAAGTAGATTTTACAAAACAAGCAAAAAAAAAAGTAGACAAAGCATAAAATGCTAGTAGACCAAATGTTGTAACAATTGTAACAAATTGTAACAGATAAGTATTAACCTATATATTCACTAAGCATTTACTGAAGTCCTGTGTGAGAGGCATAACTCACAGAAATGAATGACAGCACCCCACCTTAAAGGAGCTATAATGTCTCAGTGAAGAGTCTTCAAAGCTTGAATTTGACACTGATGAGACCCCTTCTCTCCAGACCCCCAACACCCACCTCGCCTGGCCCTCTTTGCACACACTCATGTTTGTAACCAACAGGCCCTGCAGCATGTCAATACTAGACTCCATGATCTGTATCCGGATGAACAGGACTTATTTGATATTGTACTGATGACTAATAACCATGCCCAAGTGGGAGTGCGGCTTATAAACAGCGTCAATCACTATGGTAAGTAAAATAAATACCGTGTGGAAGAACAGCTCGCTGCTCCGGGAGAGAGAAGCCATGTTATTTTGCTAACTGTGGCCTAACTAATGCAGTGTCTTTGATACTGACACCCCCTTCTGCGTGAGGAATGTTTATTTGCCTATGTCAGAACAAGAGAGGCCATGTTCATTTTTAACTTCAGCACAGAGTTGGACCCAAAGCTCTGGACTTAACTTGTCAAGTGTGAATTTCAAAGTCTTAATCCCAGGTCCTGCAATATATTTCTGTTTTATGTTTTTCACTTCTGAACTTGACTTCAAGGAGCCGTCAACCCAGGGGCTTTCACTGTGTGATCAAACTTCTTGCTCACCACAGATACATGTTAAAGGTTCAAAGGTTTCACCTCTCCTTTCCACTCTTAAAATCTGTTTCTCCCTGGCTGCTCTCCCACACATCAGATCCAGAATCAGGCCAGCAAAATTGTCTTGATTCCTTTACATGGAAAAGTTAGATGAACTCTAGTCTCTTCATAGCATTTTCATCAATGTGTAGGAGACTTTAAGAGAAAGTCCCCCTTCTTCCTGCTATGGAATTACCTGACTTCTTATTTGGGGATTTGTAGCCTATTTTCTTAAGTGACATCCAGAGGAAAACACTAGTAGCAGATTAGCATTTTATGGGTATGCCAACCCAAAATAAGGTGTAAATTTGGCATATTTAAATTCTTCATTTCAATGGGGCATATTTATAAGTAATCAAGATATATTACAACGTATGAGTTTAATAGTATCCTAACTATAAGGCTGATGCCTTACTGTGACATACTTTAAAACATGTTTGCCCTTCAAAAATGCAGCCTTCATAGTGTTTACGACATGAAAAGAATGTATGTAAAAGGTTTAGCATACATGACTGACATAGATCAGTTACTCAGTAAAGTGCAATTATTTGATTTATTTGGCAATATAGGTATACCTACCCCTCACCACAATGAGCCCATCAAAGGTAGTGACATAAAAAACACTGTTATCTACCTATTATTAAATCTGCTAATTAACTGATTGAGCCGATCTTCTCATGCAGCAGCCTTGTTCATGGCATAACAAACAACCTTTCACTTGGAAGAAGAATTAGTCACTTGCCTTCTCTGGGTGTCAAGGCAATTTGTACATCTCTCCGCTATAGTCTTTGTTACATTATAGTTATGTTTATGTTACAAGCCCAGCTCCTCAGTGACTATTGCCTTTTTGAGCAGACAATGTTTTAGTCGCTTCTAAAGCCCCAGTGCCACCACATAATTTCTGATCATTAAATTAATATAATTAAAGATGCGTAGAGTGCAGTTTTGTGCCACATCAGCCACTGTTGGCTTAAGTGAAAAACAGAGCATTTTGTTAACACCACAACAAACGCTTGCACCTCAGCTGTCGATGGATCTTATCTGCTCTCTTGGTCCATAGAGGTGATACACTCAAAACTCTGCTTTCTGTGATATGCAGCTACCCAGTCTATGGCAGATCTAAAACCACTTTGAATGTGTATAAACCTTATATGCATAAGGTTACACTTCATTTAGTTGTTCACACATTGTTGAAGGTTTTGCTTTTATAAATGATCCTGCACTGAGACATTTCTACATAAATCTTTTTCAGAGTCACAGATAACTCCCTTAGAATAAACCCCAAAAGAAAGCAATCCTGTGTCAAAATAAATAAACCTATTAAAAGCTCCTGATATGTGTTGTCAAATTACTTTTTAGATAGCTCTTACCAATCCATACTTTCATGCACAGTGTATTTGAGTGCTTATTTGACAAATCTTTCAGCAACATCCAGAACTTTTATTTCCAAGTTGTTGTTGCTTTGAAAGGCATTGATGGTATATTAGTGTTTAGTCTGCTAATAAGTCCATTTAGAATTTCCAGTCAGGAAGTAGAAACAATTTCAGACTTTTTGTTGTGGTTTTTAGAAAGCCATTCAATTCCTAGCACAACTTTTTATCACTGTTGTATTGTCCCTGAAGAATGACAGAAATGGTACCTAAAACAGAGCCACACTTTAACCAGGCCCTTCAGCAAGTAAGGAGGCTGCGGTTGAAGGACAGAGCCAGCGTGAGCCGGAGGACTTAGACAAGACTTCGGGTCTCAGTTTCCTTCTCTGTAATGGAAATAATAGTGCTGCCATACAGTTGTGAGACTAAATCAGCAAGGTCAATGTGGAGGGACCTCACACATTATTATGTGCCAAATGCATCTAGTATTATATAAAACTTTGGTGCTAAGAAGGTAATCTTCATTTTCTAGTACTGGTGCTAAGAAGGCAATTCTAAAACCCCAGTAGGCACTCAGTTATTCTTAAGATAACTCCCATTCCCATTTACAGTAAGTATATTGTTTTTAACCTCTAACATAATGAAATCTTTCTTGCCCCATAACAGGCTTACTAATTGACCGCTTCTGTCTGACTGGAGGGAAAAGCCCCGTTGGCTATTTGAAGTCCTATCTTACCAACCTGTATCTTTCTTCCGATTCTGAAAAAGTACAGGAAGCAATAAAAGAAGGTATTGGTCTGGTTTCATCCCAGTACTCAATAGAGAGCTTTGCACTGGTGGTTACTTCCATTGGGTTTTCCATTGGCTTATGCCAATGGTTTCTACGGCTTATGCCCTTGTTGGGTTTCCTAAGGTATTTCCGCCAAGTGGCATCCCTTAAGTTTGTCTTTTACAGCATTGACCTTCCTGGAAGTGGATATCCTCAGTGATCTTCTTATAACCCATTTTACACTTTCCCATCCCTTCTAAAAATGGGGGCAGTACGTAGACAACGGTTGAGATGTGCAGTTGTGGAGGGGAGTGGAGTCATCAGAGAAAGAGCCAGAGGAAATGCAAGATCTGGGATGGCTTCTTCTTATATTGTAATGGTAGGAACTAAATATCATGACCCTGAGAGGAGCATTAATCAGTCCCCATGGTCTACCTACCAGGGATCGCCGCTGCAACAATGTTTGATGGAGCCAAGGACATATCGTACTGTGAGACACAGCTCCGCGTGGCTTTCGATGGGGACTCTGTCCTCTTCTGTGAGGAGTCCGAACATATTACCAAGGACCGTGGGCTGGACAAATACTTTCAACATGACACAGTATTTGACAACAAGTCTCTGGCTCAGGTAGGTTCAAGGCACTCTAATTAATTTTGATCTGCTTATTTCCCAATAGATATCAGTATATGTTCCCTGGATGGCTTTTAGATTATTCTAGACAAGCCACTCCCCACTTCTGAAGCTTTGCAGTTTTCTCCCTTTCTTTTGTGAACTCCTCATTTTGAAGCCTCTGCAGCTTATTTTAAAGTTTAGTGTTCTTTTATCTAGCCTTTTAGAAATGTTTCTATGATCTTATGAAAATGACTTCACCCCCTCTGAATTATGAGTAACAGGTCTTATGGCTTACCAATAAGCCATTTCTACATAACAGGTTCTCAAAATAGTAAGGTCATTTCCAATAGGTCAGTAAACATTTGTTGAACTGCTTTGCCCATAACCTCAAACTCAGTGAAGGCATTTCTTAATTGAGAAAATCTGCAAAAGCGACAGCTTGAGATGACTCAAATAATGAGCCTCAAACCAGTGCAAACTATGAAAACCTAATCAAAATGAAACTGAATATGTAGATGTTTTGGAATCAATCCACAAACTGAAGTTGAAGTGTTAAAGTCATGCTGTGAAATGAATGAAACCTACAACTTCTATCCCAAAGGAAATTTGAAGAATCAAAATATTCTCCAGGCTGAATCTGAATTAATGGATCATTCAGTTTTAATCTATGAATCTTGGCAAGAAATTTAATTGACCCTTGTTCCAGCTCTTCTTGAACTTAAGATAAACTTAAACATTATTTTTATTACATTTATAAAAGTATGAATGGACTAACTGAAAACTGACAAGCTTTACTAACTCACCTTACATTGCAGCAAGTGATATTTAAACTCCGTCTGTGTGTTTAACTGTATCGCATCTTCCTAAATAGCTCCTCTGGAAGACCGGCTCTCATGTTATGAAGTCGTTCAGTATTAACAAAGTTTGCTGTTGAGAAGAAAATCATTTGTTATATATTTTTAAAATATTTTTATTTATTTATTTTTTAGAGTTAGGGGAAGGGAAGGAGAAAATGGGAGAGAAACATCAATGTGTGGTTGCCTCTCATATGTCCCCCAGTGGGAACCTGGCCTGCAATCCAGGCATGTGCCCTGACTGGGAATTGAACTGGTGACCCTTTGCTTCACAGGCCTGTGCTCAATCCACTGAGCTACACCAGCCAGGCCATTTGTTATATTTTATATATGTCTGCTTTGCTAAAATTCAGAGCCCGTCGTTTATCAGCCTTGAACTATCACTGAAATGTGGAAGATCTCCAAAAAAAGAACACATGCACACACGAATCTTAAAAAAAAAAAGAATTACTTCAAGAAAATCTTAAAATATCATTTTCTCATCCAGGTAATTAATTAAAATTTCTTTTAGATTTTGCTTTTATCCGTTTTTGTTTTTTTTTTTTTTTGCATTAAACACCTAAATACCCCATTAAACAATTGAAATTGAGAAACCCAACACTGGTTATTACAGGAATACCCAACAAATTTCTGCTTAATCACACTTGCTTTCATTATGCAGGAGCTAGAGTTACCGTGCGTTTTTTAACATGGAAAAGGCAGCTTTTCTATAAAGACCAGGCTTTACCAGATCTGTTCCATTGATGAGAATGTTACAGGGTATGATGCCTACCCAAGGCTTTCTAGTATTTTGGCCATGAGGTCTGGCCATAGCCATGTCCCGATTGCCTCCAATAGAGGAGATCTAAGAGTCATCAGCAAGTGGGACAGCTGGGGAGGGTTAATTTGGCCACTCTGAGCATAGTCTATAAGCCCCCAATGTGACGCCATGACTAGTAAGGGGTGTCTCCTGATTTGATCTCCTCCTCGTCTCGCCATTCTGAGAGTCACCTCCAGGTATCTCTGTGAGAGTCAACCACCAGAAACTTATCATTTGGATAAAGTTCAATTTACCAGTGTGTTCTTTTTTTGAATTGTGCTTTTAATGTCATATCTAAGAAATCTTTGCCTAACCCAAAGTCATAAAAATTTCCTGTTTTGCATAAAATTTTTATTAAAATTATAAAAAATTGGGGTTTTTGGAATCTGACCTATTTTTAATTAATTTATATTATTTAATGATATTTCCACAAAACATTGGTTAAGGTGGTATCGGTCCTCCAGATTTATTATTTTCCATGTATCTTTGGGATACTCTGTCTCCTTTGCATGTTTACACAGACTTAAGAATTAGCTCGTCCACTGTTTTGTGATTGTGTTAAATTTATACTTTAATCTTGGGAAAATAGTTACCTAAACATCAAGTCTTGACATGGTATATCTCTCCATTTATTTAGGTCATCTTTGATTTCTTTTATCAGTGGTTTATAGGTTTCAGCCTACAGATATTAGGTATCTTTTACTAGATTTATTTCTAAATCTCATAACTTTTGGTGCTATTATAAATGATACTTTAAAGTTTTTAAGTCCCAAGTTCATTACTGCAAATATAAAGAAATGCACTTGGTTTTTGTACACTATACTGACCTTGCATCCTGCAAATTTGTTGAGGTCACTTGTTAGTCACAGTACGATTTTGTAGATTTGAGATTTTCTATGCAGGCAGTGTTGACTGTGAATGAAAACAGTTTTACTTCTATGCTTCCATTCTGTATGCCTTTCATCTTTCTTGCCTTATTACCCGTGCTAGGTGCTTACAGTATACAAGGTGAAGTAATCACAGTTAACTTTTAGTTTTATGCCACATCACGTTTAATGTAAGAACCCACCGTAGTATGTGATAACTCCCTCCTGTGTTTCATGCTATTGTGATATATTTAGTTCCACTTATAAAGTCCCAACACCTTGCTACTATTTTTTAATTTGGGTAATCAGTTTATCTTTAGAATGAATATGAATAAGACAAAAATATGTTTTTGATATTCATTTTTACTTTAAACCTTTCCAGGGACCTTTATTTCTTTTTATAGATTCAGGTTTTTCCCTGGCAGCATATGCCTTCAGCCAGAATAACTCATATGCTGTTATCAAAAACTCTGTTTTTATTTATCTGAAGATTCTTTATTCTTCTTTGTTTTGAAAAATATTTTCTCTGGATAGAGCTCCCTGCATTTACCGTATTTCTCTTTCAGCCCTTTACAGATATATGTTCATTGTCTTCTGACTTACATAGATGCTGAAAACAAATTGCTCTAAATTCTCATCTTTGGACCTCTGTGTGTAATATGTCTATTTTTCTCTGGCTGCCTTCAGGACTGGGTGCTTGAATTTCAGCAGTTTGAACATGGTGGTGTGTGTATCTGTGTGTCTGTGTGTCTGTGCGAGTGTTTCCACAGGAAGGCAATGCCCTGTTCTTTTTAACGTGTTGCTATTTTCCTGTTCATTTTCAACTGAGTAATCTCCACTGAACTATCTTCAAGTTTACTGGCTCTTTCCTCAGCTATGTTAACTCTAATGATAAACCCATCAAAGGCGTTTTTATTTCTGTACTATAATTTTTATTTCCAGCTCATAATTCAACTCTTACATTTTCCATCTCTTTGCTGAAATTACAAGTCTACTGATACATGTCATCCACCTTTCAATTAATCCACATTTCAATTAAGATACTAATTGTAGTTACTTGCAATTCCCTGTCATATGTATGACATCTAGATAATCACTGACTCTTCTGCTGCTAATCACTCTCTCTTGAAAGTTGATCATTTACCTTTAGTGTAGTCTCAGAGTTCTTTAATCAATTTCCAGTCATAGTGTGTTGACAGTAGAGGTTTTGGTAAATAGTATTTTTGCCTGGTGTCCTCTTCTGCTAACAATCAGTGTGATGGATTTAAACAATCAAGTCAGGAGTTTAACTAGCTGTGCATTTTTTATTGCTGCCATTGTTACCTTCACTCCACCACAGGCCTCAGACTCCTCAGGTCGGTGCTGGGGGTTTTGTCCTGTTCTACTTTCAGCCATAGGCCTTCCTGTCCTGTCTGTGCCTCCAAGGGGGTCTCCACATTGTCACCCCTCTCCCAAATGTTACTGTTTGTCTCTGACGGCTGGCTTGGTGATGGTGGGGGGCACTCTCTGTTGTCCTAGTTCAGCCCAAATCTAAGGCAATTCCTGTATCTCCTTGGCCTTAGGGGTGAAGTTTAATCATTGATCTTGCCTTTCCTCCAGTGATAGGAGCTATCCAATGGTCTGGGTCCCTGTCAGTATCCAGTCCCTTTCCTGGGAGTGCAGTTTTTCCTTTCCCCTTCCCTTTCGGTATCGGATCTTTACCTGTGCCCTGGGGAGGGCGCAGGGGTAGCAGTGTTTGAAGTCTTCCTTTCAGCAGTTTAAGACTTTTGTCCTTTAGGAGGTATGGGACAATGTCAGTCTCTTCTCAGGGTGACAGCCGCTCCTGTCCTCCAAACCTGTACTACCTGTGACTGCATTCTTTCATCCCCCCCGCCCCCCGCCTGCAGACTGTCTCATAAGTGACTAGTGAGGTCTACAGGGCGGCTGTGGGGGAGCCTGGAAGGGAGCATGTGTTTCTTGTGTCTGTAGCTCCCAGGGCTTCTTTGCTTTCATCAGCCCACACTTGGCCTTTATCAATTTGTTCCCTGAAATAACCAGAATTTTTCACACTTGCTTCTATGGTATCTGGTATGCTTCCTTCAGTGATCTGCCAAAAATGTACCAGTCCATGAACCCCATCTGTCTTTGAAGAGACCTTAGATTTTTCCTTAGATTTTGATCCCTTAGATTTCATGTTAGTTGGTTGCCCTGATAACTCAGCTCTCTAATGGGTTCAAGAAAAGTTCTATTTTTTAGACTATTTGGCTTTTTCTTATTGTTAGGTTATGAGTAAGTCTTTCCAGCTGTCTACCTCCAGACAGCTTTCAATGTTGCCAATCATACAGCTCCTCAAGAAGTATTTTGAGTAACTTTCTCTCATATTTCTACATTTTATTGGTGAGTTATGTACTTAAACTACTGTACAAATATATAAATTATAAAACATACCCGAAATAAAACTAGGAAAGGATGATATGGATACCTGGTTTTAATATGGTGACGTACACTGACCAGTCTCCATCTATCCCTTGGGAAGGTACTCAGCCTCAGAAAGGAGAACTGTGCTCCTCCGGGTTTCAAAGCCAACACGTGAGCAAGGTGCTCCTGCCAACAGTCACTAGACCCTTTCTGCTGCTGTTGCTCTCCACCCAGAAAAGAGTTATGGTTTTCTCACCTATGTACGTGCCTTTCACCTTTAGGAAGTACATTTTTTGCTCTTTTTTTTTTCTGTATATGTAGCCTCTGAGAAAACAAAACTAAGTAAAAGATAACATCGATAAGCCATGTTTGCAGGAAATCGCTTGTTTCCAAGACAACAGAGAAGAAGGGAAAGTTTGGATTGTGGAAACAAGATAGTCTTCAAATGCAGACAACTGTAACTGAACAACAATAAAATAATTTTTAAATAAGCAGGGGATCATAAATAAGCAATAAAATCAATAGAAATTATCTGACATTAAGAAGCATATTATAAGCCCAAAGACTTTTTTTCAAATTATGCCTAAAGTAGTAATTCATAAACAAGAAGAGATAAGTTTGGAATAGAAATGAAGAATAAAATTTTATATTAAAAAAATACAATCCTTGGCCTTTCCCTTAAACCCTCTAATTCCTCCTAGGTAAGCCAATCTACTCCAGTGATGAGTAATAAAAAAAGAACCAGCACAGAACACAGGCAAAGATACTACAAGAAAAGGGCAGACAAAGAAGAGAAAAGTATAATAACAGATGAACTCTCAGCAAATACTTGCCAAAGTATAGGTGAAAGTTGTGACTAAACATTTACCATGACTTTTCAAAACTTAATAAAGCAGTGTCATGAAGTGGAAAGGCAAGACTAGGGAAGAGATGGTAAAATGTTAAATGGTACTACTCTGGAAATGAGTAGAATTGAAAAATAATAATTTAGGAAGGAAAAAGACAGAACTAGATCACAGGTGAAGAAAATCCAAAATATGCGTAATTTGCATAATTGGAATCCTTGAAGAAAAACACTGAAATTATGTTCTGTGGGGAGGAGAAAAGGGTTGTATGTGGTAAATATAAAGAGATATGTATATGAAGAAAAGATTCTGAATTACCAGAAGATCTTCATATATGCATTTAACTATTAAAAGATTAAAGGGCACATGTGTAGCAGGGAAATAGAAGAGAATGGTCATGAGACATGCCCTAGTAAAATTATTTGACTTCAAAGATGAAGTAGTGATTTTCTGGGCAACCTGCACATACAAGTGGAGGGGGGAGAAAACCTCAGCTGTTCCTGCTCTTTCCACAGCAGCACTCAATGGTGAAAGACAGGGGTGCACTAGGACTGGTGGGAACGCAGATTGGTGCAGCCACTGTGGGGAACAGTGTGGAGGTTGCTCAAAAAATAAAAAATGGAACTGCCGTATGACCCAGAAATTCCACTTCTAGGTAAATATCTGAAGAAACACTAATTTGAAAGAATATAGGCACCCCTAATGTTCATTGCAGCGTTATTTACAATCGCCAAGATATGGAAAGCCCATCAATAGACCCGTGGATGAAAAAGCTGTGCTACATTTACACAATGGACTAGTACTCAGCCATGAAGACTAATGGAATATTACTTAGCCATAAAAAAGAATAAAATCTTATCATTTGCCGTAGTACGAATGGACCTGTAGGGTATTACGCTAAACGAAATAATTAGCTAAAGTCAAATACCAAATGATTTCATTTTCATGTGGAATCTAAAGAACAAAATAAATGAACAAACAAAATTGAAACAGACTGGTAGTTGCTACAAGGGAAGAGAGTTGGGAGCCGGGTGAAAAGGTGAAGGGATTTAGAAGTACAAATTGCTAGTCACAAAACAGTCCCAGGTATGTAAAGTACAGCATAGGAAATATAGCCAATAATACTGTAATAACTGTGTTGGTGCCAGCTGGGTACTAGAAATATTGGGGTAAACATGTTGTAAAGTATATCATTGTCCAACCACTATGCTGTACACCTGCAACTAATACAAAATAATACCAAATATAAACTGTAATTAAAAATAGTGATTAAAAAAGATTTAAAGAAAAGACTTACAAGATCAGTACTTGTAAGAACATACGGAAAGAATATATAAATCGCAGATTCCAGATCCAGCCAAAAGTTCCTTCAAGTAAAAAGAAAACAGGTCAACATTTGAGAACATACACTATTCTCAGGGAATTTTACTCCGTAACTTGCCTTGACAAAGTAAGGACTAGAGGACACATCTTGGTTAATATGCAGATGACTAGAAACACAAAGGCACAAATGGGCCTAGAAAACATTTAGTCATGTAACCCAAACTAAACAATCCTGGGGATTATGGAGCAGAAAAGGAAGCACCTATTGACGTGCCCCTAGATAGAAATTACATAACTAGGGAACTGGGAGAACATGGAGCAAAACAGTCTAAGGAAGAGTAAGTATGCTGATGTCTTCAGTTATGATAACTGATCGAAGGATAAAGTATAAAGCTGATAAACAGAAATATGAGAATCTTCAGTAATGCAAACATAAGCAAGTAAAATTGCAGAAGAGAGGATAAGAGAAAGGTAAAGAAGTACTCTAAATTCATTTTTTCTCATTGTTAAAAATAACAGGTCCTAGATTTAAAAATAAACAGAGTACTAAGGGTACTATACAACGTTATGGTTACTGAGGGAACCAACAGAATGAAACAATATAAACTATCTTTAATCTTCGAAGAAACACACATACACACACCTGCACACAGAAAAAGACACTTGTTCATGAATAATACTTGAAATTTTAAACATGAAAAATACAGTAAAAAGCATGAGAACCATTACCATGTATATTTGTAATTCCAATGAATATAAATGTCCTAAAACTCAAATTTTGTTTTAAAAATTAAGACTTTTCAGATTGGATCACATGGCAAAATCCAGTTCTGTGTTCCGTAGCATAGCTCTAGAGCCAAAACTAAGTGTTTAGAAAGAATGAAGATAAAAGGTAGTATGCTGATATACAGACTATTTGAGAATATAAAACAAGGCTGGATTCAAGCCAACAAGGCATGAAACGACATAAAACAGTATACTTTATAAGGTTATAATGTGCAATTCACAAAAAGCAAATTAAAATAGTGCTTTTAAGAATAAAATGAACTGGATCCCACTTTGCCATCAAAAGTTTATGACGGTTGCCTTGGTTAAACTCTTTCATAGACACTTCTTTCACTCTTAAAAATATTTGTTTAGACAGCAAATTATACGATCATCCTACATTTATTTGAGGAATGCAAGATGGCTCCATATAAGGAAATATGTTCAAATAAATGCAAGGAGTCTCAGCATTGTGCCACTGACTTTATAATACTGCATGCAGTAGTACATCCTCTCATAAGCTCTTACAAGCCTCTGCTTTCTCAGCATGCACTTCATTTGGTTCACTGGATCACAGCTGTGACATATGTTCCTTTTACAGGGTCCCTTGAAAAGCTTTCTGGAAGATTTAGGCAGACTGCAAAAGAAGTTTTATGCCAAAGACCAACGGTTATGTTGCCCTATCAGGACCTACCTGGTTACGGCCAGGAGTGCAGCCAGCTCAGGTGCTCGAGTGCTGAAAACCCTTCGCCGGTGGGGTCTAGAGATAGATGAAGCCCTTTTCCTTGCTGGAGCCCCCAAAGGTCCCATCTTGGTGAAAATACGGCCCCATATCTTCTTTGATGACCACATGTTCCACATTGAAGGGGCACAGAAATTTGGCACTGTCACATCTCATGTACCTTATGGCATTAATCAGAAATTGAACAATTAGACATGGGGAGGAGCAATAAAGCAGTGAGTCTGGTATTACAGAGCCACTTCTTGTGGATCTCCAGGGTAATTAGGCATCTCAGAAGACTGGACCTCAGAACTTAGTTCATCTGCCAAAGTTTTCTTTTAATTTTTTTGAAAATATTTTGAACCTTCAAGTTACCTTCAAGCTACTTGTTTTTGAGATGTCCACGCTGTTGCACACCATTGCACCTACGTTTGTGTGTGAGTCATAATGATGACGCTCTAGGCCAAGCTTAGAACTCATGTATTTGATGCTTAAAGGGCTACGTCAGAAGCCTACCAGGTCTTACAAAGCAGTGCTCATTTTTGGATGTTGGTAAAATACAGTTGGTACAAAATCATCATTATTGAATAGTGGTCTCCTAAAGTAGGAAGAGTAGGGTTAAGTACACCCTTGAAAATTCAAACTTTTCAGTCTGTTACCTTTAAATCCATGCAAAATGAAGATGTCATTCCACTTGCATATGTACCAATTCTGACCCTGCTCATTCCAAAATAAACCAGCTAGATATTCACAGGGTACTTTCCCTCTAAGGTGTGCTCCAGACAGAACCCCCTAGGAAGGGTTCTCTGAAGCTTATTTGGTGGGTTTACAGCCCGTGAACAACATTTTTGAAGTCTTTTGCTTTGGGCCTAGCAGATAGGCCCAATATTCACGTAGCAAAATAAGCCTTGGCCATGACTTCAAAATGTGGCATGAAATGTAGTATCCTGGCCTTTCATTATTATCATTCTCTTGTGATATTTGTTTTGTTTTAAAAAAACCTTGGTTGGTTATTAAACATCATCTACCACGCAATGTAGCACAGTGGGCAGGATATTTTCATGCTGCCTCATTGTCTCATCAAACCAAATGTGTGTGATATAACATCATTACCCATCTTTGTAATCAGTGAAGAACCTAAGATGCAAAAAAGAGTAAGTAGCTTGTCCAAGAACAGCAGCTAATAAATCAGTAGGACTAAGAGTCAAATTTAGGTCTTATTTACTTAAAAAGCTACTTTTTTTTCTTTGTGTTACACATACAGCCTTCCAAACTGAGTTGTTCTTATTGATTCCATGGCCATAGGACCTAACATGAACAGATGAGTCACTCCATCAAATTCTATGCTTAAGCTTCACAGCAATTACATAGCAGGTCTGGGGCTTCATCTGTCTTGGTTGTTCTACCCCCCACTCCACCTTAACCTCACCCACGTATGCCATGTCCACCCTGGTTCTAGTTCAAGAAGACCGCTGCTGACATACATCTTTTGATCTACTTCCTAATTTGATGTAAGCCAGTCCAAAATATATCAGTCACAACACCTAATGAGTACCCAGTGTTTTCTATGCATTCCCCAATGTGAAGACTACAAGAGAGACTCGGAGAGAAACCCATCCTTGAGGAAATTTAAAACGTTAACAATACCAAGGAAGTCAAATGTGCTAACTCAAATAGCCAACACTAGAGGGCTGTTTGTTCTTAGTGCCAAGTGAGGGTCACACATGAGGTTGAAGCAGATATCTACATGGGCTGGAAGTGGTCAGGAAATGAAAGCACTGAGGTGGGCTTTGAAGGACAGAGAATGGATAAAACTGAAGAGAGAGAGGAAACCTGGATCACTCCAGGTTCGGGGAGTTTTGACAGGGAGCTTAAAATTATAGGAGGAGGAATAAAGCCCCCCACCCTACCCCACCCTCGTGATTTCTGTTCCCGAGTCCTTGTCTAATCCCCAGTAACAGTGCCCTTTCTCACCTCTGAGCTTCATTCTCAGCACTCCTAAGAAATCTTCTGCAGTTCTTCCCCTTCCCTCTTTGTATTGTGCCTATTGTGGCATATTAGATCCTTCACAAATGCAGAGTGGAGGACAACAGTTCATCAAAATCTTATAGGGGATTATTGCAAACTATACTTTGTGTGTCTCTCCTCTTGCCCTGAAGATTCTGGAAGGGGTCTGGGACAGTGGAATGTTGTGCACCAAACAGTAAGCACCCCATTTCTCTGTGACTCTCCTGGGGCACAGGGGCTGGCACCTAATGAATGGGTGAGCAGATGAATGAGTGCCAACTTAACAACAATTTGGTCTCAAGTCACGAAGTCCGTACCTTGGAGATGAGTCCGTGGGAAAAATGCCCTGACGTTTCTGAAGCCCGTTTTAGTGGACTGAGCACTTTCCCTCCGATTTTTACACGTTAGGGTCTTACGGAGGACGTGGGAGGTGTTTGTGAAGTGGTCTGCTCCAAAGTCTATGTTCACAGTAAGCACAAGCTTTTCCCACTGTATTCCGGCCAGTGTCGAATGAGATCATTTGAGGGCGACTTTTTCTACAGGGACCAGATCAGAATCACCTGGGAACTTGTTAGAAATGCAAACTCTCAGGTCCCACCTGGGACCAATTGAATTCGTAACTCTGGTACTGGGGCCCTGAAAATTTTAGTTTGTTTGTAAAAGCCTTTCAGGTGATTCTTTTTTGTTTTCCTTTAATATGTGACCTAGTCTTTTATTTCATTTTATTAATTAAAAAATATATTTTTTCAATTACAATTTACATTCCAATTATTTTGTGGTTTTTTAATATTATTTTTTATTGAATTATTGTTCAAGTAGTTTTTCTGTCAGGTGAATCTGATGTAACGCTCAAGTTTGGCAACACCTGGTCTAGTCTATCTCCAACTGATTCGTGTTGCTAAGTTCTTAGCCTCATTTTGGGGGGTAAAATAAGAGTCCTCGGGTTTTGTTGGACGGGGACAATTCTCCAGAGGGTGAAAATAAGTGGAACGGAGGGTGAACAAGTCCCAGGCCTTGAACAGAAAACACACTCAAACAGCTCTGAAGAGTAGGATTTGCACACCAGCCTACTTTTGCTGAGAGATTTGTAAACTCGCAGTATTCAATAGGCATTCATAGTGGGAAACCACCACCACTCAGGAACGTCCATGCAGAGGAAACGCAGCCACCAGAAAACCCGGGACCAAGGCTCACCCTCCACTCTCGCCGGAAGCTGTCTCCACGGGATCGCGGTGACCCAAGGCGAGATCCTCTTATAACCAATCAGAGGTCCTCGAAAGGAAAACTACAAGTCCCAGCATGCCCCACGCCACCCCGTCGGTGTCCACTGGCCGCGCCCCAGAGGTCCGCGCGGACAGGTGTTAGCGTCAGACCCAGGGGTGTGGGGTTTCTAGACGTCCCGCGCAGGGGGCGGTGGGCCCTCCTCCGCGTGCCTATGGCAGTGGCTACTGTGGCGGCGCTACTGGCCGCATTGGGCGGGGCTCTTTGGCTGGCAACCCGGCGGTTCGTCGGCGCCAGCGTCCAGCGGCTGCACGGAGGCGGGCACGCCGGCCTCATGCAGGGGAAGACAGTGCTGATCACGGGCGCCAACAGCGGCCTGGGCCGCGCCACGGCTGCCGAGCTGCTGCGCATGGGGGCGCGGGTGATCATGGGCTGCCGAGACCGCGCGCGGGCCGAGGAGGCGGCTGGTGAGCTCCGCCGCGACCTCCGCCCGGACGGGGGCCCGGACACCGGCGGGGTCGGCGAGCTCGTCATCAGGGAGCTGGACCTCGCCTCGCTGTGCTCCGTGCGCGCCTTCTGTCAGGAGATGCTCCAGGTGTGGGCTCGGGGAGCCAGCTGGAGACCAGTGCTGGGGCCCAACGGCGGGCCGGGCGGGGCCGGCGGGCCGGGGGCTGAGCCCGCAGGGGCCCGCCCAAAATGGAGGGAGTGCGATCTTGGGAATGACCGTGGTTAGGAGTAGGAGCAGTCACATGATTTGGAAGCGGCTTGGGAGTTGCAGGCTGGGAAAATTGATTGGACAGTCTTCTATCTTCCAGGGATATTGAGAAAAAATAGGCCCTAGAGGAAAATAAGCTTTTGTCCGAACATCGCCTTCAGTTATGTGAGGACGACCCAGGAGGAGATCAGCCAGGTCTCTGGATCACCTTCCCTGTGTCCAGAGTGAATCTGCACCAGGCCCTCTCCTTTCAGAGAGCGCGGAGCACTTGGGGGAAGTTGCTAGCCAAGGACATTGGAACCGTCTTTTTTTCCCCCTTGCCGGATAGGAAGTTTAGCTCTCTGCCACCAGGGGACTCATTAGCACCATCCTTAGCCACACTCTGGCCTGGTTTCCAGATAAACTGGAGCTCGGAATCCCAGTAGCCACGTGCCCTAAATAAAGACAGAAAGAAGTAGATATGTAATACCTAGCATCTATGAAAGATTTTTCTCTGTGCTAGCTGTGCCAAGCATTTCAGATACTTTATTTTTTTTTTACAATGAAATGAAGGTGTCCTTGGCTGTCATGGAATGCTCACAGTGGGCATCGTTAACCACATTTTTCAACATAAGGCAAGGAAGGCATAGGCAGGCTAAGTTGATTGCTGAGGACCTGTCTCCCGAGCCCTTGCTTTTAACTCCTCTATACCTGCTGCCGGCCAATGAGGTGGAGGATTTCTTTTTCAGATGGTAAATATGCCACTGAGGGGGGTCCTTCCCTTGAAATTGAGGTGGAAGGGTTTCCTGCAGCTGGCATTCAGAAGAGTGAGGTTTAAAGTTAGCTGATGGGAACCGTGCCTGTGTGAAATGGGGATTCTTGATTCCAGAGCAGAGGTTCCTAAACTTGCTATTTTTTTTTCATGGTGCCCTGAGACCAAGGGAAATATCTACCAGTTTATTTATTTTAAGTAATTAGGCACTGATGTCAGAACAACTTAGTAGCTGTTTAAAAAACTAGAACACATAATGAAAGGAAAAAAAGATAGGTTTATTTCATTCCTCAGTAACCATAATTAATGTGAGAAAGGTGTACCTGTTGTTCAGTTCTGACTTTGGAAACAGATGGGTCAATGCCACCCTCGTTTCTGTTGTACATTGATTTTTAACGTTATAAATGCACTTCATTACAGCAACTGCTAAAAACAACTTTGCAGAGATGTGACATTACTAAAGAGAACTTAGCACAATATATTGTTAAAGCTGTGAACCACCTGGAACTCGTGGGTTTT